TCCCATTTAAATAAGTAATATGACTTAATAATAACACTATAAGAAAGCTGCCGTAACCAAATTGCTATAATGGTATGGTCCACAATGACCTCGTGGTAATGATTAAACGGGAGGAGGGGACAGAAACCAACGCACTGCAATTACGGTTTTTGCGCCGGGAAAATTATATTAATTTTAAATCGTTTAATCAAAAAATGTAGACGTTTACGGTTTTTTCCCGTTGGTCGAGAACGAGCAAAATACGGTCATTATAATTGTTCAGCCATCGTTATGATAACACATTTATAATATTATCGTTTTGTATTGTTGTGCGATGTTTTCTATACCGCGTGGTTTTGTATTTTTCGGACTCGTATTCAAGGCGATTCTCCCAGAGACCCTTAGGCGAATTTAAAATCTGGTTGTTTTCTTTTTTTCTTGCGTTATAGTATCGTTTAAACCTTATTTTCAAATGTTTACCTCTACTCTAAAAAGATCTCAAACGAGTACAGATTTTGTTTTTTTTTTTTAACGTTTTTGACGAAAATTCGAATATTTTTTATACAAAATTCGACATGTACTTATATAATAGGTCATAGACACTTAATCTACTAATGAATATTAGTATATTAGTATATTAATATTAAGTTATATTACTTTATATACTTTTTTTTAAGGGATTTTCAAAATACATTTTTTTCCCCTCTCCTATAAAAGGCCTTCATAAATCCTATAAAACAGTGGGACTAACTTATTTTCCCAATTTTTTGAACAAGCTAGTTTTGGTTCTAACCTATTCATATGTATTTTTACAGTATATGGGATAGGATAAAATAATTTTGGGTAAATTTAATTTTAAAACGATTCTATATAATGGTCGAAAATTTAACTTGATTAAAATGTTCGTAAATGATGATGGTCAGATCACTATAATATAATCACACTGTATACCTACTGTTTAACGGTCACGTTTTGATAAAAACGTTTATGACGAGACATCATCTCTATAATTTAATAATACATAACTTTTACCTGCTCACGTCGGATTTTTATTGGATTAACGTTTTTATTCGATTTGGAATCGAACGATGTGTGTAAGAAAAAAAAAATAATACGAGTTCCTTTATACCTATTTATATATAATATATGTATTAAATAAACACCTATATCACTCGTTTTT